ACTGGCTATCGTGCAGGTCACGGGTTCAACTCCAGGGAACTGTACAGATACTGTACACAGGTAAGCTGAGGTCAAGGGATCGACCCCTGGGATCTGCATCGGCTACTGCCAAAGGTGAAAACTGTTTCAAACTGACCTTACCCACCTTGACACCCCATGATGGGAATGGACGGCGGACTGCGAACGTGCTTTTAAGAGGCCTGTGAAGTATGATTTGACCCATCATGAGGTCCTGAAAGGTCCCAGATCTTACCCGCCTTGACAAGCCCTTTATAGTAACTAAGTTAACTGACAACAGACGCTAGCCAATATGGCATTGCCGCATTTTTTTTACAACAACAGGAGGGGAAAAAGTTGAGGCCAGTTGAGTATATGAGCAAGAAAATGTTGAGGCGAGTCTCAGGCGCTAGCAAAGTCTCTCTGACTCAAGAGGGAGCTCTAGGCTCTCTCTACAAAGCCCTTGTCCATTGGAAGCATTATCTCCATGGTAGATAGATTCATTGAAGTAAGATCTGATCATGACACTCGTCGATGGATCAGGAGTCAGGACACAACCAATTCTCTCTCTGACGTGCTGCAGGGGTGGATCCAAGTCATTGACATGTATGACTTCCGCCTCTCGCATGTCAAAGGAGATTTCAATAAAGTGGTTGATGCGCTTTCACGGTGGGCAGATTATCTTGGTGGGCAGATTATCTTGGAGTGCTAATTACTGAGCTCGGATTTTCCCATGATATAACTCGACAGATGGTGGACGCCTACAAGGATGACAACTTCATGTCTGAAATCATCCGTAGGTTAGAGGCGCAGGGGATAAGGCTGCCTCTGACGAGTTTGTGGTGGTGGGTGGATGGCTTGCCCTTCCTTGACAAGGCAGGGAATAAACGATTCTGTGTACCGAGTAGAGAGTCTTTGCGCAGTTTATTTTTAGGCGAGTGTCACGACGCCACCGGTCTTTTCAGGTACAAGAAGACCTCTGCTAATCTAGTACAACAATTTTAGCCCCACGATCCTTTTTTTTTTTTTAGCCCCACGATGCTAGAGGATGCAAACATATATGTTGAGACATGTCACATTTGTCAGAGAGACAGACCTAGGACGCAGGCATCTTTAGGATTGCTCTACCCTCTCTACCCCCATCCCTGCTGGACCGGGAGAGAGTCTGTCCATGGACTTCATGGACACTCCGTGACCAGCAAGTCTGGGAAGAGGCACGTCTTGGTCATTGTGGACAGATTCTTTAAGTATGCTAGACTGGCTACATTGCCAGAGACCGCTAAGACGGAGCTTGTTATCAAGCTGTTCATGGAGCACTGGGTTGGGTTGGGGATTTCGGAGTGCCCACGTCAGTAGTGAGCGACCGAGTCACCAAGATGTCTGATTTAGAAGCGAACTTTGAGAGAAGAAGGCTGCAGAACAGATGGGGTCTCAGATGCAGATGACTTCAGGGAATCATCCGGAAGCCAATGGACAGGCAGAACAGATGAACAAGGTGGTTCAGCAAATTGTGAGGGACTACATTAAGCCCGGTCAAGATGATTGGGATGATAAGATGCGCCTGATCACTAGCCCGTACAATATCGCAGTGCATAGGGCAACTGCTCGTACTCCCAATCAGCTGCATCTAGGTTGGAAGCCCAGAACCACCACTACACATTCTTTTGCCCAAGGCATGAACTTACAGCAATTTTTTTTAAGTCAAAAAAAAAAAAGTGGCCCCTGAAAAGTTGAAAACAGGCCTGCTGCTGCCCAGGTTTTTGTATAGAATTGAGTGTAGAACAAGATGAGAGAATGCTGAATTTTCTGTATCTCGCTCGAGTGTTATTTCAACGGATATCCCGAAGGACTGAATTGCTTCGTAAAGTACAGAGAGAGAGAGACACGACAACCACAAAGAAAAAAGAAAAATGATGGTGAAATCAATGAATGTATAGCCTATAGGATCTTTCCATCCCGAGACAGTCAAAATGAGGGTGCGTTGTGTTCGGGGAAAACAGTAGTTTCACCCCAACGATGTATTATTGCAAAAAATGGGTTTTCACTCCCCAGCGCCAATCACAGCATCCATATCCGTCTCCCACCGTACTGCCTGCATTCTCTTTCACCTTTTTTTTTCTTTTTTTTTTTCCTCCCCATCATCTCAATGCTGCTGCAGAGTGGCTTTTGCAAATGTGAATAGTCATATTTGATCGGCAGAAGGGAGGAGTACTTTCAATTGGGCATAACACCTTACCCTAGTTGCTTGACGCCAGTACAAACGCCCGACTCACATATCGCCCCACACTGAAATTAATTTCTTTCTTCCGTGATTGCGGATTCTAACGACAAGAATTTGAAATAGATTGTCCACGAACTCTAGATTTTAACTATAAGCGTGACCTGGCGGCGTTCGCGGACAATCTCAAAAGTTGATTCCTGTCTGAAAAACAAACTGCTTTCCCTGAATTTTTTGATAATAATTTAAAAAATAATAATTCATGTTCTTGAAAAATGTTTTGAGATGTGTGAAGTTGCTGCTCAGTCAAAGCAGTAAGATGAGCTTTATTTTTAAGCTACCAGTACGCCCGGGCCTAAAGGCGCTCGACTGCACGCCAAGGTTTGCCGAACTGCCGGCCGCGTTTTTTTTTTTTTTTTTTTTTTGCCTGCTGCTGCCAGCCATTCTGCTCCAGTAGGCCCGAGAGAAAATTTTATGAGTAGGTGACAAAACTTTTTCTGAAAGGACCGGGGCGGGGGCGTACTGGTCGATAATTAAACTTTAAACTTTAAAGCATGGCTACGATTCGGACGTCCGGACCGCCGTCCAGACGGTCCGGATTCGGTCCGGACTCCGGACGTCCGGTCCAGAAGGCCCGGATCTGCCAAATTTCGAGAAAAAAAAAAAAAAAAAACGGTCCAGGACCCTTCCCCATTGAGGAGCCAAGCCCCCAAAATTGTTTTGGGGGGGTTTCAGGCCCGTTTATGCTTTTTTGGGGGGTCCAGACATGCTCTCTCTCTATAATAATTTATTAGACAACCCCAAGTTTTTTATTATGAATAATTCATTACCTTTTATTAGTTTTTTTAACTTTTTTAAGTCTTTTTTTAAGCTTTTTATAGTTTTCGACTTTTAACTCAAGTTTGGTTAGGAGACACGCTTGCCAGCGTTTAAGTGAGTGGAACAGAACGTCGATGGCGGACTGGTCGAACTGGGTTAACTGATGCGTGGGTGATGGATGAGGTACGGGACAGGGTCTGAGGTGAGGTAGCGTTGTATATTTCTGTGGTTATGGTTTGGCATGTCGGGCGGACTAGCTTGTGGACACAGGATAGGATCGGATGACGTTGATTTTGAACAGGGTCTGATGGTTGTTTTTTGGGTCCTTGGTGTTGTTTTCTTGTCGAATAGGGTCTGATTCTTTGTGTGTCTCTGTTGTCAGCTTTTCATTGATCTTACCTTTATAGTTTGGTATTTTTTTACCTTTCAGTTGCAGGACCGGTTACGGGGACTGTTACCGGATAGCAGGTCTGAGACGTGGTAGTAGGACCCAGACAGGCCTATGCGTTATAGCCAGTGTACTTTTTTGCCTTTGTAGGGGTTACTGTAGGCGACCCGGCTATACGTAGCCGAGAAGCCTATCTCCTTTTTGCGATGCGAACTATATGAAGACGTTGGTCGTAGTTAGTTTTCCTTTTGGGACGGTGGAATGAATGGGGGGTTCTGGGTGTTGTGGATTGACGATGGAAAGGATTTCTTCTACGACTTGTCTTTGACTGGTTTGGGCGCTTTGTGCGCCACTTATGCTACTCTGCAGTTTGCCATATCACATACTCACATACTCTTAGGAATTCTGACATGACTCTGAGGCAAAAGTGGTTTGCATTGTTATTCTGCATAACATACTTTTTTTTTCAGATTTTTTTTTATTTTTTTTTTAATGGTCCGGACATTTACGGACCTGTCCAGACATCCGGACCCCCCATGTCCGGAGGTCCGGAAATGTCCGGAATTCCGGACGTCCGGAAACTACCGGACACGGGTCCGGTTCCATGTCCGGAAATGTCTGGGTCCAGGTCCGGCGTAGCCATGCTTTAAAGTTTAGAGTCTTTACGACTCTTTAGACTTTAAATTTTAAATAAAAGTGTGTGTGATCATTGTGATGATACCTCAGATGGGTTTACCCCACCGCAGACCGTGTAGAGGGTCAACTTGCCGACAGCAATACCCATGCCCTGCAAAAAAAAAAGAGAATGGACGAAAGTTCATGAAACCACCAAGGGGAAAGAAAGAAAAAAAAAAAAAAAAAAAAAAAAAAAAAAAAAAAAAAA